TTTATACCCAAAAGAAGCAAAAGCAGAGACTCCAACAGATACGTACACACCCATGTCATAGCAGCGTTATTCACAATAGCCAAAAGGTGGAAACAGCCCAAGTGTCCGTGGGCAGCAGAAGGGATAAACAAAATATGATACTACACACAATGGAATATTCTTCAGCCTTTTAAAAAACGTAAATTCTGCCCTGGCCGGTTTGGCTCAGCGGTTAGAGCATCCGCCTGCGGTCCGGAGAGGCCCGGGTTCGGTTCCCGCTAAGGGCATGTACCTCGGTTGCAGTTTGTCCCCGGCCCTGGTTGGTCGTGCGGGTGGCAGCCACTCAATGTGTCCCTTTCACATCGATGTTTCCCTCTCTCTCTCTCTTCCTCTCTCTCCCTCCCACTCTGTCTGTACAAAAAATGGAAAAATGTCCTTGGATGAGGATTAAAAAAAAAAAAAACGGAAATTCTGACATGCTACAATATTGGCACATTTTTAAGATATTAGGCTAAGTGAAATAAGCCAGACACAAAAGAACAAATATTTTATGACTTCACTTATATGAGATACCTAGAGTAGTCAAATCCACAGAGACAGAAAGTGGTTGCCAGAGGCTGAAGGGAAGGGGGAGTTATTGTTTAATGGATAGAGTTTCAGTTTGGGAAGATTAAAAAGTTCTAGAAATGGCCCTGGCCAGTTTGGCTCAGCGGTTAGAACGTCAGCCTGCGGTCCAGAGGGACCCGGGTTCGGTTCCCGCTAAGGGCATGTACCTCGGTTGCAGTTTGTCCCCGGCCCTGGTTGGTCGTGTGGGTGGCAGCCACTCGATGTGTCCCTTTCACGTCGATGTTTCTCTCTCTCTCTCTCTGTTCCTCTCTCTCCCTCCCACTCTACCTGAACAAAAAATGGAAAAATGTCCTCGGGTGAGGATAAAAAAAAAAAAAAAGGTTCTAGAAATGGATGGTGGTGATGATTGTAAAATGATGTGAATGTACTTAATGCCACTGAACTATACACTTAAAATAGTTAAAGTAGTACATTTTCTTATGTATATTTTACCATCAAAGAAAATAAAAAGGCCTCAGACAGTCTAACTCATTGGTTTCACAAATAAAGAAACTAATACCCAGAGAGGTAAACTGCTCAAAGTCAAACGGCTCTTTGAGCAGAGACTAAAGCACAGACCCCACTACAGGGCTCTTTTGCCTATTCCACATAATAATAATAATAATAATAATAATAATACTCCTCATATAGCATTTTGTGCCAGGTGGGCTTCTAAGCAAGCACTTTATATATATAAACTCATTCAACCCTCACAACCACCCATGAGGTAGGTTATGTTTCTCATGTTTCTCTCGATTTTAGAAGCGAGGTAACTGAGGCATAGTTTACATGCTCTCCCAAGATGACCCAGTTAGTGAGTGACAGAGCTACACACTGGTTCCAGAGTGGTGCACTTAACTACCACACTGCACTGCCAGGTATTAGTTTTCATGTCCTAGCCTCAAAGGCAAGAATTTGGTCCTTCTTTGGTACCGGAGACTGCAAAAATGTCCCCAAATGCTCATCCATGCCCTCTGCAGTGTGACTTTGCAGCCCACCCCATCAAGGGGCAGAATCTACTTCATGCCTTTAATCTGGGTGGGCCTTGAGATCTGCATGGGCCAATGGGATGCAATAAAAGCAATGATAAATTGACTCCAAGTCCAGACCTCAAGAGATCTTGTATGCTTCCCCTTTTTCAGAACCCTGTGGCTGTCATGTGATTAGGTCTTGGCTAGCCTGCTGGAAAATGAGAGACCACGTGGAGGAGAGCCCAGCTGTCCCAGCAGAGGCCATCTAAGAGCAATCTACAGTTAGCCAGTGCCCAAACATGTCCGCAAGCCCAGTGAGATCAGCTGAGCTCAGTCCAGGGGGCAGAATAATTTCTTAGGTTCTCCATACATATGGCCAATTGCTTTCCAGAACAGTTATAATGAAGGAAACATTTGACTTGGAGTAGAGTCAGGTCAGTTGGCTTTCCAGGATGTGAGAACAACACAGGCAAAATAAAGTTGAAAAGGGGTGGGGTAGGTTTAGAGAACAGGGAGTAGCCCATTAAATTATACACCAATCGGAGAGAGAGAAAAATGGTGGTGGATTGAATGGAAGCTTCACTGACCTTCTCCCAGGACCAAACTATAGACCAATTGTGTTTACGGAGTTAATGAGAAATAAACCTGGAGAAGTAGGTTAGACCTAGCTTAGTTTATACTTAATTTAGTAGATGTTATATGTATCACATGTTCATTTTCTCCTTACAGTACCATAAAGAAAGTACTGACTTCCAGTTACAGAAAAGAGGTGTCAAGTCAGGATTTCAAAATAGGCGATCTGAGCCCAGAGCCTGCCGTATCCACCTACGACAAAACCGTGATGGAGAGACTAGGGGCGGAGAGAACATTGTAAAGATACCACAACTGGCCAAGAAAGAAACTGTGAGGGCTTGACCGGCCGTGGGGACAGATAGAAAACAATAGCTATGGGTGACATGCTAGAGGGTGGGCTACAGGACGAGACAGCAGACTGAGTGAACAAGGTAGAGAATGAAGAGAGTCACAGGGGAACGCTCAGATGGTGAGCCTGGGTGACTGGGAAAATGATTGGTGTCATGATCAGATACTCAGAATGCAGAAACTGGTTCAAACAGGTTGATTCTGAAATGCCCTTCATGGGGTGAACACTTGGAGAACTGAGAACTACAAGGAGATTGAATGAACACAGAGTTAAGGCCTGAGAAACATGCTTGGAGTCATCTGCAGAGAGCTAAACCTCAATTTCCTCATTTGTAAAATGAAGGTGTTGTTCTAAATGCTGAATTTTATCCAGCATGAAAACAGAATTTTTATCTATCACAGTCTGTTTGAGTTTTGCTGAAAAGTTATTTTTGTTGGTAATCAAGTGGGAAGAAACTTAATGAACTTGGATGTTATTTCACTCAATGATACTGAATTTTCTCCTTTTCGCAATTTTTACTGAGATTTAAGATTTTATTACTCTTGTATCCATGCTTTTGAAAATCTAATATTTAGTCCCCATTTTAAAATGTCATTTCTTACAGATTTTTTTTTTTTGCTTGTTTGTGGTTCATTTTGTTTGTGAGACCCAAAAGCAACATTTTAAAAGAAAAAGAGTAAAGTAGTTAATATTTATTGCTTACCCACTATTGTGCTTGGCATTCTGCATGTATGCTTTCTCCTTAAAATATAGTCTTGTGAGGAATAAGTCATTTCAAACCCATTTTACAAATGAGAAGATGAGGCTTACAGGTTAAATAATTTGACCAAAGTTAAAGCTTTTTTGTCTTTTACAGACTTGCTATACTCACTGGTGTTTTTATTATCAGGTTGGCTAATAAGAGATGAAGGTAATACATGTTTTCTTTCCCAGAACAGAAGTGGTTGAGAACACTTTAAAGGTTTACTCTTCTATTCAGAACAGAAGACCTAGTGTGTTAGTAAATAGCATGGAAGAAGGTAGCTCAACTACAGACTGATGGGAAATAGATGTAATTTCAAATCTGGGTTCTGCCATACTCATCAGTAGCAGTGGGGAACCTCTTAACCCATCTGAGTCACAATTTACTCAGCTGTAAAGCTCGGAATAATAAAAGGTCATCTACAAGGTTATTATGAGAGCCAAGAAAGAAGAGAAAGGGGTCAATGATGAGAACTCATATTGTCTTGGAGATAATGACTTAAAAAAAAAAAAAACAAGAAGAGAAAAAGAATTCATGAGAGCATCTACCTCATGCTTAATCAGGGTATTCAACAAATGTTTCCTTTTTCTTTTCAAACATTTTCAGATCCCAAGATGTATGGCTGACATATGGGCTTTGTATAAAGAATATTTATCATTTCCCAATTGTTATGTTAATGATCATCTTTATTGAATTTGAATTAGCAATGCATGTCAGTGGGGCTCATTTTTGAATTAGCAATGCACCAAGTGATTCTTTTCAAATCTCTGATAAGTGAGTAACTAAAAACATTGCCAGATCAAAATTAATTATCAGTCTGTACCCATTAAAATTTATAAGTGGAAAATGTTCCATATGTTACACATTCCACACATGAGGAAACTAGAAACCCATCCCTGCAGCTGACCCACTCACGTCAGCACTTCTGACGCATTCATTCATCGAATGATAAATCTCAACTCACTGACATGCACATCAAAGATTTAAACTTACAGGTAGTTATTTCCCTGGGCAGAATGTGAAACAGTTTGTTCATCAGTAAGCAAAGAATCAAGAAAGACCACGTTTTTAGCTCTTTCCTTTTTCCAGTTGTGACTCCTCTAATTCTTTCCTCGATGCTCTTGTTTCCCTATCACAGCATGTATGTGATTATCCTCATTAAAGCACAAATGAGGGGTAAAGCCTAAAATCTCCTAGGGGTATTTATTTACACCATAACTGGGAGTAAGGTCACTGGCTTAAATGACAGGAATGAGATTCTCCTGATGAATTTAAGCATGTGACAAGCAATGAGAAAGAACATGTTTTAGTCCTAAATCTTTATGCGGCTCTCCAACTCACCACCAGCACGTAAAACAGGATACGTCAATCACATAGCCCTAACCGCCTTCCTTCAGTCCCCGAAACACTGACGTCACGAAGTAGGTGTGCTGCTGGCACTGTGAGGCCTCGCTCGGTTGTGCCACCAGCACCCCGACAGCTTCCAACCCACTGTCATTATTCGCTTCCTGGGATTCTCAGCCTATGTCCTGGGAAATAGAAACCACCCCCCACACACACACACACACACACACTCAGAAAAGTAGCTGCCAGTCAGACAGAGGACACTCGCAGCAAAGTCCATTTTAAGCTCAGAAACGAAAGTCTTTCCAGTTTCTGTAAAATGTTTCCCACTTGGATCTCCACCTAGAAATTGGCAGAGTTTCAACATGGAAAGTGTCGGTGAGCTCCCCCCTCCAGGTAAAGTGCCATCTGGGGAAGAGCTCCCTGAATAACTTACCTGAGATCCATATCTCCATCAACCCAGAAGGTGAAGATGTTCGAGATGGTTCCGCCTGGGCAGCACCCCATGATGAGAACAGCAATAGCCTGGATGGGCTTCAGAGAGAAGCTGATGGCCAGGAGACAGGCTATAAGAGGCATGAGCCCAAACTGGCAGAGCAGTCCCACAGCGATGCCCCAGGGTCTCCTGACGTGCGACCATAGCCTCCGGATCTCCACAGAGCACCCCAGGGAGAACATGAGCAGGCCCATCATCACGGCTGACACTACTGTGAAAACAAGTTCCAGGTTTCCATGTGCCTGCAGCCCCACTGGCAGCTCCTCCGAACTGTTGGCAGGGCAGGCTGAGCTGCTGGAACAATTCGCTCTCATCTCCTCATCTCCTTAAGGCAGCATTACAAATGAATATCTGCCTAGATGGCTGGGCAGGTCTATCCTGCCACGTTTTGCAATAATGCAACAAAGTCACGATGCAACAAAGTCACGCGTGGAGAATCATTCCAATAGCTATTGGCCGGGAAGGGAATCCATCCTAATCTGATCAATTTCTTTATGACCTTATAAAAGCAATGATCACGGCCACCGAACGTATAATGAACCGTGGTAAGTGAGGCTTTCCATTTGTGTTCTTGCTCACCGCGGAATATTAAAGAGAAACGAGACAAGCAAACTAATTGTCAAGTGGAGTGACTGAGCTGTCGTCAGCATCGCATTGTGTTCCAGGAAAGCAGGGTGGATGCCAAGACATAATTTCTCCAAACTCAATGGGGATTTCAAAGAGCCGGGACAGTGTTTTGGAGAGGCTAATTCCGGGGGATGGGGTGGGGAGGACGACAAACCACCAAGGCAATTAAGCCAAAGCCCTGACTCATAGCATTAACAAAGAATTTCTGTGGAAAATATTAAAGCAAAAGGCTTCCAATTAAGGAAATGGCCAGGGGAACTCATGATAATTTCAAGAGAGCTTCAGAATTAGACTCTGTTCTTCTTTCTACTTCTATTAGATTTTGTGTCTGAAGCCAATAATGAAACACCTGTAAGAATAATGTGATATAAAGCACCTGATCATGTCTCGCGAAGCAGGTAGAAACTCATTTCTGTATCCAAATTAATTCAAAGGAGCTGTCACTTTCTTTTGGAAAAGAGTGCGGGCTTTGTGATACCACAGCCTCGGGCCTCCTGGTGAGGTCTGGGAATGTCGTGGGGAATGTAGTAAAGAGCTTGTCTGAATGAAAAGGGTCTGAGGTCAGCCTCTGACCACATGGCCCAGGGGCGCCTCTGTGTGCTCTAACCCGGCCCGGCTGGCGAAACCAGACGAGGAAAACTCGGGTCTATGAACTAAACCTCAAAAAGAGCAGAGGCCACACCCTTTCTCACAGAAAGCAGAAAGGTTATTTGTGGGGCAAAGACTGGTGACAAGGTATACTTTATAAATGCCTCCACCTGTCTTAAAAGGCAGACTGGCTATGCATTGTTCATGTTTGGATTAGCCAATTATTCTTCATGACAAAACAGGCGTGTTTATCACCTAAAAATGCAAGTTGAATACAAATGTAAAATAAAACAAAATTCATCTGAAGAAACTATAAACTGCCTTGGCCAGTGTGGTTCCGTGGTTAGAGCATCGACCCATATACCGAAGGGTTCTATTCCCAGTCAAGGGCATGTACCTGAGTTGCAGGTTCAATCCCCACCCCCGACAGGGCACGTGTGGGAGGCAACCAACTGATGTGTCTGTCTCTCACATAGCTGTCTCTCTCTCCCCCCTCCCTCCCTCCCTCCCACTCCCTCTAAAAATCAGTGGAAAAATATCCTCAGGTGAGGATTAACAACAACAAAAAAAAACCCCTAGAACCTGCCTTAGGCCAACACACCCTAAAAGCAGCTGTGAAGGTGGAACCCTGCTGGAGGCCACCAGAGGTCAGTGTGAGGACCTCCTGCCACCAAACCTTGTTTTATGCCTGAGAATAAGCCAGCGTTTACGCAGAGCTTGGAGAGCCTGTGAGAAGGCAAAGCAGAAGCATCTGCAGTGTGTTTACATGGAGCCAAGCAGAGACGTGGATGCTCAGGAACTGGCTGCGTCTCTGGAAAGCTACGGATCCCAGTTTGAATACTGCAGAGGTGCAGGAGAGCTAAGGGGGAAATGGAGGAGGGAGAGAACTAATTTTCTGGGTACCCACTGGGTGATGGGCATGCTAGGTGCTTTGTGCATATTGGCCGTGTCTGATGAAGCATAACTTTTTTAAAAATTATTTAATTAGAGAAGGTATCAGACATTTCTTTCTGGATAATGTCAAACACTTCCTTGGCAGACCTTCTTTGTTCCTGGAAAGTCACTTGAATGGCCCTCCCTAGTTATACAGATTTAGGTTTAGTGAGCACCTCGGTTCCTGACTGAGGAGCTCTGATGGCAGGTCCTCAGTGCTGCGGGGAGGAGGGGCCAAACTTGCACACTGCACTGAGGGCGCCTCCTGAAGGGAAGTGTGACTTTGGCCGCTACCCTTTTGAAATGTATTGCAATCAGAATTTCTCAACTGAATTAGGATGGTTCCAACCGACATCCACTGGCAGGAAAAGACACCAAGGTCCACTAACTCCCATGAAAGGGATGTCTGGACTGGTGCCAAGGTCCTCTGGACCCAGGCACCCTGGCATAGATGTCACGCAGTGACCGAGCATGTGGTTGTAACCTGAAGAGGAGTAACCTCGAGAAGCCAGATCCTAGCCAACGACCATGTTGTGTGCCAGGACTGGGATCAGAGGGCAGTGGTGGGTAAGGCCCAGGGGACTGGGGGAGACCACAAGATCTCAATAACAGCAAGAGCAGCTGAAACCAGGGCCTACCAGTGACTGGACAGGCTTGTCCGAGCTTCTCTCCATCTGGGGTTGGGAAGGAGACTCATTTGGAAGAGTAAGCCCCTGGGGTTCTTGACCAATTTGTAAAGGATATGTTAAATAGGGGACTCTAAACTTAATCGGCATGTAGGAATTCAACAATTAATTAGAAAAATTTTAAGGATATGACCAAACCTGCCTGGCCAGAGTGGATTAGTTGCTTGAGTGTCCTCCTGTGCACCAAGAGATTGCCAGTTCGATTCCTGGTCAGGGCACAGGCCTGGATCACGAGTTTGATTCCCAGTCCCTCTCACATTGATGTTTCTCTCTTTTTCGTTTCCCTCTCCCTTCCTCTCTCACTAAAAAATCAGTAAAAACATTTTGAGGATTAAAAATAAATGAATAAATAAAATTCTCCTAGCCATGTTAAAATAATAAGCACAGAAAGAGATTAAATGGAAAGACTTCCAAATGTTCATAGTGATTGCTTCTGTATGTAGAACCATGGATCATTGTTTTCTTCTTTATACTTTTTGTATGATCTAGTGTCTTTGAAATGACTGTGTATTACTATTTTTGTAATCTACTACTTTATTATAATTACATAATCATACAATAATTTATAATATTAGGAAAAAGAGTAAAGATAGAGGAAGCTGTGGTTATTTCAAGCAGCTCCCTAAATGTTGGTAACAGCCTGATGATTCCGTGGGGAGACTGACTGTTGAGATGGCTCATTGTCTCTGTTCCCGTGTTTTTACAAGGTAGCCTAATAAATTCCAAAGCTTCCAAGTAAGGGACACTTGCAGAAAATGAAATGCAAGGGTGTGAGAAGGACTGACGGCCAAGTCAGGACCTAGACAAGGGGTGGTCACCGGGCTCACAGCACCTGCACCACCTTCGGGATGTTAATGGAAGGGAAAGCAAAGCACCGTGCCAACAAAACCAACTGGCAAGGCCTGTTTGCCATGCTCGGGTGGCATGTTATTTATAATAGTATTTGTGGTCCTTTTCCCAACCATCTTTTTTGGCCTCAGCTCATCAGATCAGATGTTATTGAGATTATAACCATACATTCTCATAGCCTGTTTAAATCCTAGGATCATGAGAAAAAAAACCCACAAGTTGTAATAAATGAAATTAGTGGGGTTTGTAAGCCATACAGCAAGTTATTGATGCTGATTTTTTTATAAGAACTGTAACAGCAACTACCATTTATTGAATTCTTCCTATGTACTGGGTCCTGTGATAGGTGCCTTGCCACTTTGGCACACAGATTATTCCAAGTGGAAGGCAACTGAGAAGCTGCCCTCCTCCTATTTGCCTAAAAGCAGGATATACATTTGTAAAGATGTCTCCCCTCCCCCTCTCTACCAGGAAGCAGAGAAGTTAATCACTGAGCACATGTCTAGACCGGTATCAGACCAAAGGAGTCTACATAACAAACATTGCTAAAACCAGCCTTTACGATTATGTTTGTTTTCCCACAATCTGCCACCCACAGGAACTCGAGTTCCTTTTCCTCTGTCTTGTCACTTCTCTAAAAATGTGTTGTTGTTTTGTTAAGAAGCTATGTAGGCTCCTCTCTGAGTGCTCCCACGTGTGTGACACACATGTTAATATACAGCTGTTTCTTTCTCTCTCTCTCTTTTTTTTTATCCTCACTCGAGGACATTTTTGCATTTATCTTTCAGATAGAGCAGGAGGGAGAGAGGGAGGAAGCGAGACAGAGAAACATCGACGTGAGAGAGACATTGAGTGGCTGCCACCCACACGACCCCAACCGGGGCCAGGGACAAACTGCAACTGACGTACGTGCCCTTAGCAGGAACCAACCCGGGGGTCTCTGGTCCGCGGGTTGATGCTCCAACCCCTGAGCCAAACCGGCCAGGACCACCTCTGTTTGTTTTTCTCCTAGTATTTTTTTTTTTTAGTCTAATTTACAGGGTCCCAGGGGGAGAACCCAAAATGGGTAGAGGAAAAAATAATTTATTTTCCTCCCCCATGTAGCTTATTTAATCCTCTCAACAACCTTATTCTGCAGGTTCTATTAGCTTACCTACAAGTGGAGAGGCTTATAGAATTTAAACAATTTACTATGGGCTAAGCTAGTAAATGACAAGGCAACATGATGAGAGTCAACACCAGAGTCTATCCTATATATGAACAATAAATAAAATAATAAAAGTTCAGGAGTTTCACTCATGAATAAATAATAACAAATAATAATAACATATTATTCTTGCTACCCAAATATCACATCCTGGTCACCTGTTGTTATTCACCTACTTAAGCCTTAAACCCAAGTGCCTTCCCAGATGCTGAAATATAGGTGCCATTCAATATACTGGCCATCCATCCCTTCCTTATGTGCTTTCAACAGAGGTTAAACCCTGAAGCCGTGGCCAGAAAGGGTCAGAATTTTTTTCTCCACCCTCAACTGCCTGGTCAGGAGGACATGTATCACGTGCACTAGCCAAAATTACCCAAAATAAAGGGGGCTGCTGAGCGGGGCAGCTGGTACACACTCACAGCATTTTCATCCGACCTTTTCTAGCATAGGCCTGGGACATCCGAAGTGCTCAATCAGCAGTAGCTCTTGTGTTGGTTATTATTATTAATAACATCTGCATCTAACCCAAAAAAGTAACAATATCAGTATCAAAACTAAACAAATTCTCTTTTGCTCCTGCTTTCAATTTTCAGATTTTTTTCAAACCTTTTTGTTAGTAAAACTTACAAATTTTTTTCAAATACTAAAACAATCATGGGGGTGGGAAATACTCACACACACACACACACACACACACAC